GTACAAGAATACACCTCGAGGCATCTCAAAATGGAAATTCCACTGTGAAAATAAAGAGGCTTTCTGGTCTCCACAAATATTTACATGATAACTGCCAGTTCATTTTTCCATTGGTACTTCTGGCTATGCAAATAACTGATTTTAAAACTAATTTGTCATTTATCATTTAAGTTTACATCTCCCAACCACGTAGTTTTTATCAGGCTTAAGCTCAAATTTCCCCCTTATACTTAGAATTAAAGGAACAAAGTTAAGGTTATTAAACATTGGCATTTTAGTTACTATAAAGTGTCAGTATTTAGCTTACTGTCTTCTGTAGACACAGTGCAAAACTGAATCAAGCTAATATCTTTTACAGTTGCTGGCATGAGTGTGAACAAACTCTTAAAGACAAATTTACCCAAAATAATAAAACTGCTGGTTTTAGAAAAGCTATAAAAGATCACTGTCTCATTCTGCTACATCTGGGGTTTTGTGTTTACCTCACATTGAAAAATTCCTGGCTATGGAAGAGTGATTTATTACTGGATGATAAATTCAGGGTTAAATGATAACCAGTGAAGTCTGAGATTATAAAGAGGACATAATTTCCAATATAAAAAGAACATGGCAAGCAAACACTATAAATTGAAAAGTGTTTAGCATGTACTCCAATCGTTACAAAGATTATTTACTTTTGTGCTGTGCCTAAAATTGTTGAAGGCTTTCATTTAAAGCAGATGGGGGTGTAAAGGTGATTGTGGTTACCTATTCTGACGTCCCTGCATAATACAGGCCATAGACGTTCCTGAATTAATTTCTGCTTGAACTAGACTATATCTTATAGCAACACTACTAGATTTCTGTGATGGAGAATGCACCACAACCCTCTGTAAATTGTTCCTTTTGTTGATTAATGTCAGTTATGAATTTACACCGTATTTCGAGTCTGAATTTGTCTACCTGCAACTTGTATCTGGTAAACACAGGTGTTCAAATTTGATGATCACAGTGGTCCCTTCTGGTCTTTGAGCCTATCAATCTAGATCTCAGAATATATGAGTCCATCAGACATCTGCATGCTATCCTGAAGACTCCTAGCTTCTGTCCCCTATCTAGATATTTATAGACTGATCAAGTCACCCCTTAAAATTCTCTTTGATAAGATTAATATATTTAGTTCCTTGAGTCTCTTACTATAAAGCAGCTTTTTCAATCCTTGAATCTTTTATGATTCCTCTTGCTCCAGACTTTGGAAATCACAGTGCATTTGGAAGGTTAGCCTCACATATGTGAAGGCTAGAAAAGTATATTGTGGCCTACAGACCTTAATTAAACATTGAATTCTACTCTCTCTAGTGTAAATGATACCTGCTATTATGAACTCAATGGATAATCTGCAGATATATGACCTCAATAATAACAGCAGATATTATTTCCACATGATCATCCTTTTTTTTCCCCCAGTCTACCAACCCCTCTTTTGCCTTATGTGGATATGGACTCGGCCAGCTGGCTCTCATCTCTGCCTTGATGTCTAGCAGGACTGGGATCCTAGTTAAACAAAACACTTAGGCATGTGATTATATATAAACACACACTTAAATGCTTTGCTGTGTATCGATGGGCTACTGACTTGGGGCCTGAGTAAACTTGATAACTCCCATTGGTCAGGATGGAGAAATGGAGCAGAAAGTCATCACCATAGTGAAAATACAATGCATGCATCCTCAGTTATTACTTGATATTTTTCCTCCCACGTTAACAACCTGATGCACCTGTTGGACAAGAGGGGTGACAGGATGGAAATGCAACAACCAACATGGAAGTGTCTTCAGGGTATGATACTGAAGTGGATGATAATAGTGAGCGCTAATATTTTTAGTCACCTTTCCTAAATTAATTGAAATTTGTGCAGTATGCATGTAAAAATAAATGTGCATGGTATTTTTCTCTTTACATTTTGAACCTGATTTTCAAATTTGGGCATGCACAGTTGTTCACCAAACTGAATGCCCTGAACATGTGGGTTTGTTGGCTATGAAATATATAAGGCAAAGCTAAGAAATAATAATAATCTGTTTATAATTGTAGAATGAATTCTTTGACTTAAGTCAGTGTTGCAAAACTCATTTAAGTGACATTTAAGAAGTCAATTGTTACAACTCCCATATAGCTAATTAAAACTGTATCTGCAATGAATGGTGACAACTTTTCATTGAACAAGGCAACTTTTCTGGTTATCTTTTGGCAAGACTCAAATAGGGTTTCGATTTCAAAGCAATCAGAGGGATACTTTAATTAAAACTGTCTCATTAAGAGTTACTAGCTGTATAAGATCTACTAAGAGCTTGCTTGATGTACATTAATATTATTCTTGCCAGTTTGATGATGAAAGACAATGAAAGGGTGAATATAATTTATTTCTTATATAGCATTCTCAGCATAAAGTAGAATAAAACCTACTGTGAAAAAGGACTATAACAAGTTCTTAGACTCTATATCAAGATAATCTTGACATAGATGTTTAAGGTGGAGGAGTTGAACAGAGTTAAAGCTTTGTATATCAAATTTACTGTTTTTCCCTGTTAAATGCAAATTAAACGCTAGTATTTTGAGAGTAGATGTAAAAGATGGAAAAAATCAAGACACTGATCCATTTTATTCAAACCCACTTTTAATAGGCATCTTGTAGTTGACTGCTTGGACTTTTTGCAAACAATTTTTATAAGTAGGAGTGAAGTAGGATGCTTTAGAAAAATATTTAAGTTTGTAGGACCAACGTTTGTAAAATTGCAGTAAAATATTATATATTTTGGCAACCACAAGGAGTATTCTTTTTATTGGTAATAAATATTGATTCTCTGGATATTGCGATCATCAGTGTATTTTCAGGATTTACACTTAAGTTTTTAGCAGCATTCCCCAAGCAGAACATTGAGTTATGCAAAATCTTTTAAGTGTATCTTAACTTTTCACTGAATCCTTGTTCAGAGTAACCCTGTATTAAGAAGGCAGATGCTATTATTAAAGCCTTATGACATACATTTCAAGAAATATTTAAGGTTTAATGCAATATTCTTTATTTGAGCCTGTGTTCCACTGATATCAGTTGGACTTGTGACACAAATTATAACTATAGGATACATCCAGTAACTTAGGGTCAAATGTTTGCCGAATAGGTTGAATGATTAAAAATGAATTTTGGTGGAACAAGGGACTATTATGTTACAGAAGTATTTGTTGCTTACATTGATGAAACCATGTAATAATGTGTGTTTGGGGCTTGCATTTTATATAAATGCAGTAGTATTACTCCTAAACTCCGTTTAGGAAGGTATTATTATTGTTAATTTTACAGTCAAAACAATTCCTTATACACTATCTAAATGAATTTTCTTCATTTATATTCTCAGGGTGCATCTAGAAAGCATGCTTATCTTGGAATAAGCGATACAATTTGCAGTATACAAATTGAATAGCTTATTTTGAAATTTGGCAGTGTCTACTCAGCGCCAAATTTCAAAATAATATTTTGAAGATATCCTTTAACCCTCATGGAACAAGGTGTACAAAGATGACAGAATAGAGCTCCTGTTATTTCAAAATCTATTTCGAAATAACGGTCACGTGTAAAAGATGCAGAATAGTTATTTCTGGATACCTCCAGCATCCCGAAATAGCTCTGCTGTCTTGATGTACCCTCAAAGAGTAAGGATGGAAACTTTAAGCCAGACAGCTGAGTGGGAATTAAAGTCAATAATTATACTAATTTAAAATGAAAGTCCCATATAGAAAAATGTTTGATTTCTCCTTTATTAGCGTGTTAAAAGAAAACTGCCACATACTGCAAAGAGACTATTTTCAAAGAGGAATAAAGGAGTGAAAAATGTCTTAAATATCATAATAAAAATAAATAACAAAATAGTAGGAAACTGCCATTTTGACAACTAGTTTTTGATTTCTTAAAATGCATTTCCCCCCAATGTACGTAATTTTTCATATAGTACATAAGTACGAGCATACTGGGTCAGACCAGAGGTCTACCTAGTCCAGTATCCTGTGGGCAGACGGGGGCCAATACCAGATGCCCCAGAGAGAGGAAACACAACAGGTAATCCTCACGTGATCCCTCCCCTGTCACCCATTTCTAGACAAACAGAGTCTAGGGATGCTATTCCTACCCATTCTGGCTAATAGCCATTGGTGGATCTAACCTCCATGAATCTTTCTAGCTCTTTTTTGAACCCTGTTAAGTTCCTAGTCTTTACCACATCCTCTGGTAAGGAGTTCCACAGATTGACTGTGCACTTCTTTTTGTTTGTGTTAAACCTGCTTCCTATTAATTTCATTTAGTGACCCCAATTCTTAGATTGTGGGAATAAGTAAATAACTTTTCCTTACTGACTTTTTCCACATCAGTCATGATTTTATAGCTCTCTATCATAGGCCCCTCTTAGTCTCCTCTTTTGTAATCTGAAAAATCCAAATCTTTTTAATCTCTTCATATGGGACTCGTTCCAAACCCTAATAATTTTTGTGTCCCTTTTCTGAACTTTTTCCAATGCCAATATAACTTTTTTGACATAAGGCAACCACATCTGTACGCAGTATTCAAGATGTTGGCATACCATGGTTTTATACAGAGGCAATAAGAGATTCTCTGTTTTTATTCTCTATTTCTTTTTATGGTTCCTAACATTCTATTTGTTTTCTTGACTGCCGCTGCACACCGAGTGGATGCTTTCAGAGAACTATCCCCAGTGACTCCAAGATCTCTCCCTTGAGTAGTTCTAGATAAAATTAGTCTCCATTGTATTATACATATTGTAAATTAGTCCCCATCATATTGTACTTCGTGCCTTTGAGAAGACAGAAATTTAGAGTATTAAAAAGCAAGAACCTTTCATTGTGGGTGTGGTTTTTTGTTTTGTTCTGTGTTTTAACTACAGTTTAACACTTTTATGGGTTACTAGTAAGACCTTCAAATATATAAACTATTGTTTGTTTTGTTTCCATAGTTGCATTAAAATCTTCCAACTATACAAGACCTGAGATAAATGGCATTCAGGACAACTGCAGAGCAAGTAAGCCTGGAGAAGGCATACATCTGCTAGAAGGAGAACTTTTGTTACAGGTATGTTCTTACTGTGGATATAATACTTGCTGAAGAAAGTTCTTCTGTTACCATTAATGAGTTAGCAGTTAACTGATGGGTTTTGGGAAGAGATTTCTTGTGGTCAGATTACTATGTAATTGTCCATTATGGGGTTTCATGGACCTTCCTCAGGAGCATTAGGAATGGGATATTGCACAGGATGAATCACTAGTCTGATCCAGCATAGCAAATACTATTTTCCTGCTGTCTGCCAATAGTCTTCCAATTTTTCCTCTCCCTTAATCTCTAGCAGACTATTTAAAACAAAAACGAACACAAATATAAACAAAACTATGCCTTGTATTGATAGAGGGTTAAAGTGATGGTCACCCATAATCCAGGTTGCATGCTGTTAATTTGGGAATTTAATTCAATGTTAAATTACTCTTTAAAAAGCACATTGTAGAGCAGTGGTGGGCAACCTCCGATGGTGTTCTATGTTTGGCTCATGAGACATTTTGTTTACTGTTGTCCACTCACAGGGTGGCCAGAATCCACAGGTTTCTCTCCATCATGGTGGATATCTTTGCCGCCTCTGCATATTCTCACATTGTCCTGCTGCTCATTAAAACCATTGCATACATCTCCAAGATCCTGTGATAGACCCCAGCTTCGTTGTCACCCATGGTCAAGCATAACGAGCTGTAATACTTTGTGCCATTCAAGGGATATGAACCTGATTCCATTGTGGAGGACACTGCTAACCAGGGTTTCCAAGGGCCTTTTCCCCCAAAATAGGGATGCTCAGAAACTTAATCCTATTGGAAGGTTTTAATCTATTTTTAGTGTGTGGGGGGGAGCAGTTTGCAGCACTGCATGTCAAACCAGCAGGTAGTTCCATAACTCTGTAGTGATGGTGAAATTTGCAGACCAGCTCCCCCTGTTGACTCCTGTGCCAAATTTTCAGGCCTGGTGAAAGAGCACAAGTTAGTGTCCCTAACTTCCTTTCAGGCTGCCATGGACAGTACTGATGTGCCAGTAGAGTCATGGCTACTGTGTTGGCTTTGATAATGGGTTCCTGGCTCCAGGTCTCTGTCCTCTTGTACGAGGTCCAGAAGACCATGCAGTACCTCCCATTCAAAGATATGACTCTGTTCTCTGAAAGGACAGACAAAAGATTCCATAGCCTGAAAGATTCCAGCCACTCTTAAATCCTTGGGCCTGCATGCTCCTGCCACACAGCAGAAACATTTGTGAGAAACATCTTTGGCCTCCATTATCCTTTCATTGGATTCAGGACACCGGTATGCCACCCTCGATTTGAAGGACGCTAACTTCTATATTGCAATAATCCTGTCCCATAGAAAATACCTCAGATTTCTGGTAGAAAAACTTTCAGTTCACAGTTGTCCTGTCAGCTGCACCTCTAGTAGTCACAAAGTGTGTGACAGTCATGTTACCTGTGCAAGAATGTGGTCAAGTACTAGTGTCCCTGTACCTGGATTACTGTTTCATCAGGGGTGGTTCCAGGACTCAGGTAAAGTTGCAAATTGCCTTCGTAAGAGCATCTTTGGATGAACTAGGACAGCTATTGAACAAGGGGCTATCAATGCTGTCCCCAGTTCAGAAAATAGTTTTTAGGGGTGGTACTGGACTCAACACAATCCAGGATGTTCTTCCCAAAGTGAGATTTCGAGCCCTGGGTGACATCATTTGAGGTCTCAGTCCCCCATCACCATAGCGTGGAACAGTCTGAAATGTCTGATGCTTGTACCTATGTATTGCAACATATCAGACTCAGACTAACTTTGTCCTTTTCTGTACTGACTAATGTCAGTGTATCAGTCAGCCTGAGACAGTTTTATATCAACAAAATCCTCAGGCTGTCGGACTTCTGTGTAGAGCAAATGATACACCTACAAACATTGGGCTACCCTTGGAGTGCAGAACAAGTTGTCAGTCCATCTCTTTAGGTTGTTCCATGGCCTTGAGTGCTCCCTTCGCACGGAGTTTGCAAACTGTCTTCCATTAGTGAGGATTTCCCCAGATAGTCTTGTTCACCGTGAGTTACAACAGGATGTGTCAGCTGTTTTGTTCCATTCAGTATCACAGACATAAGATACTCCTCAAGATAGAGGAGTCAGCGATGAGAGATCTCAAGACTGCTTTGGTTGGCTACACTTTTAATTTTACTCCGGGTTCTTTTCAACTCATACTGTCACTTACTACTCATCCAGGATTAGAATGGTAAATTTTTACACAACTCCATAAATGTGACAGGAATTTTTATTAAAAAAGTCCTCTGACATATAAGGTATTTGAGCCTTCAGAAAGGTAATTTAATGGACTATTTAACTGGGCTACATTAAAACCTTGCAATGGGAAGAACAAATTATAGTGGTAACTAAACCCTGAGTGGGAGAATTTATTGAATAAGTTGTACCCAGCACCACAAATGTGTGTATGTGGTGGATAATTCTTTTTAATACAGGTTGGACCTCACGAAACCAGGACTCTCTCATCCGACAACATCCACGGCCCAGCAGAACTACGGGTGTTCCTGACCAGCAAAAAGGGTTGGTGGCTCAGAGCCCAGCAGGGCTGGGGCCAGTGCTGGAACCTCTGCGATGCAGCAAGGGTCACCGCAGCCCCAGTAGCAGGGCAAGGGATGCAGCAGCCCGGATAGCAGTGCTGGGGCTGCAGACGTAGCAGATGTGGCAGCCCTGATAGCAGGGATAGGGCTGGGGCAGTCCGGGCTGCTGGGACCATAACAACACGGCAGTCTGTCAGGGAGGGAAGGTGATCTGAGGAGCCGGTAGCAGGAGACCACCTCTAGTCTGAAAAATTCTCTCATTCAGGACTGGGGGTCAGGTACTGAAGGTGCCAGACCAGAGAGATCCAACCTGTAAATTCTTTATCTTCAGTATGTAAACTGAATGAATGAATTTTTATCGTTCATTTACTTTGTGATCCAGAAGTAACTAAATAATAATTTTTCACACTTAACAAGCTTTTTGAAATGTGCGTATTTGAGCACATTGTCAAATTCTAACTCTAAATGCAACTGTAATAATTAAATTGCATAACATACTTAGATCAGTCCCTTGAGCCAGCCTTTTGTTAAATCTTGACTAGAATCCATGGAAGTAAAACAGCACCTTTTAGATGAGCTGCCAAGTCACAAATGTTCTGTTTGCTATCACAACAATTGCCGTGAACCATATTGATCGTGAGCTTAGATAAATACCCTTTGCGTGACTTAAATAAGGAGTCACTTTGTCTACTTTTTCATAAAGGGGAAATGCTATAAAAACATTGTTTGCTTGCAGCGTCTGCTAGTAGAGAGGTTTTCAGCTACATATTTTATATCTTAATATATCTATAAAAAAGTTTTTCCTGAGGGACAACAGTGTGACATCACATCACTCTGGCATCCCACAGTCTTTCCCTCCCCTTTCCTCACTGGTGGCTGCCATGCCACCCTCCTTCCCTGTGCTTGGCAGCCAGGAGGAGAACATGAGGTGTACAAGGCTTCAGAGCAGCTACCCCAACTGCCAGTGGCCAAAAGGAGAGCACGAGTCATGTGAGGCCTCAGAGGGCCCTTCTTCCCCTTCTGGTGGCCAGAAGGAGAATTCAGGGCACACAAGGCCTCCGAGCAGCACCTTCCCCTCCCAGCAGCCGGGGGCAGAGTAGAGCTTGACACAGCCTCAGCTGGGGAAGGTTAAGATTAAGCCACAGCAGGGTGGGGTAGAAGAGAAAGGGCCTGGGCAGGCACAACTGGAGGAAGGAGGGAGAGGGGGGCTGGGCCAGGCGCGGCGAGGGAGGTTGGAGAGAGGGCCTGGGCTGGTGCAGCCGCAGCCCAGCCCTCACTGGTGGTGCAGGGGGGGAGAGCTTGGGGCCTGGAGAAGCCTTGGAGTGAGCCCCTTCTTCCCCACCCCGGAGGACAGGGGGAGAGAGCCTAGGTGGGAGGCCCCGGGGGACGGGACTGAGAAGCCAGGGCTGGTGTGACTGATGGCTGGGAGAGAGTCAGGCCTGCCTACCCCCACAGACAGGAGAGTTGGCAAGTGTAGTGAGCAGGGGGCATCACCCCCGAGTGATCTACAAAAAGGTTTTTTGATCATATAGGTCCTGGTGAGTGGCTTTCATCTTTATTTAAGACCTGTATGCCCTATTATATGTATGGTTTCATTTTGTACTGCACATTGGGAATTTATCTCTTAATTGTGCAAAAGGTTTGGGCTATCCACACTTTGTCAAAATTCCATTTGCACCACACATTTGTTGGGAGAATTGTGTTGTACCTAGATCTATATTGGTTTTATGCAGTTGCCCATTTCCATAGTATCTCAACATCATCAACAAAAAATCAATAGTAATAGAAAAGTTACTAGAGAACTTCATGGAGTCTCTTTGTATTTTTTACTTTTGGGAGTAAAACTAAGATAATGTGAGGGGTTTATTTTGTTATATGTTTGATTTTTAAGTCTCCATTACAGTAGTTGTGGTGTGGACAAGCTTATAAATCAGTAAAAGGTAATTTAAAAAATGTTTTGTATTTTTTATGCACTGTAAAATTGAGACTCTATTATGTAATCTGAGCTAACCTGCAATATTATCTTATTTCTGTTACTGGGGCATTTTATTTTTAATAAACATCAAGGACAAAATTCATACAGTGGACTTACTGTAGTGTTTTTTCGTCAATGTTGTTCCATCAGGAATTAATATGTAGACTATAAATATGAATAATATTTCAATTAAGTGTTTTGAAATTAATTTATATTTTCCATATATATGTTTGGAGTATATGACTCATAGCACTCATGACAGGACCAAGCACCATCTAGAGGACACCTGACAAATGCTTGTCTAACCTGCTCTTAAAAATCCCCAGTGATAGAGGTTCCACAACCTCCCTAGACAATTTATTCCAGTGCTTAGCCACCCTGACAAGACTTTGTTTCTAATATCCAACCAAAACCTCCTTTGCTGCAATTTAAGGCCATTGCTTCTTGTCTTATCAGAAGTTAAGGAGAATAATTTTTCTCCATCTTCATTGTAACAAAGTTTTAGATACTTGAAAGTTACCGTGTCCCCTCTGTCCTCGCTTTTCCAAACTAAACAAACCTAATTCTTTCAATCTTCCCTCGTAAGTCATGTTTTTAGACCTTTCATCCTTTTTCTTGCTCTTCCTCTTCTCTGGAACGCCTACATCTTGTCTGAAATGTGATGCTCAGAACTGGACACAGTACTCTAGTAGAGGCCTAATAAGTGTAAAACAATGCAGAAGAATTACTTTTTAGGTCTTGGTTACAGCACTCCTGCTAATACATCCCAGAATGACAGAACAATGTTTATTTTTGTGTGTGTGTTGGGGAGGGGGAGGTTTGCAAGTGTGTCACTGATTCATATTTAGCCTTGTGGTCCTCTGACCTCTAGATCCTTTTTGCAGTACTCCTTCCAAGGTAGTCATCCCTCATGATTTGTAGAGATATGACTGTCTTGTGATTCATGATGTATGATAGGAGTGATCTATGGACAGAGTTAGAGGTGACCTCATTATCTTAATCCTGTATTTATGGACTTTTGAATATCTGAGGTTTGAAGATGTAACTTATGTTAATTTCCTTGCTTTCAGGATTTTATTTTCTTTTATAATAAGAATGGCCTATTTGTTTTCCACTCCTGAAATTATTTGATAAATATTTGTATCCTTAACTACAGTTCATTGCTGTAATGCCAAGTCATCTTAATTTATAAAAGTACATTCTCTGCATTATTGTTTTGTGCAATAATAAAAAGTTTGAGTTAGGAGTTAGGAGGTGGTGGTGGTGACGGTAGTGATAAGTGTTTGGAGAAAGATGGCTATTGCATGAAAAGTCTATATGCAAAAATGTGTAATTAAGTTTTTATGTAAGATCTTTGAGATTTCACTATGCAGAATTGCATAATGTTGTTAAATAAGGACTTATTTTTCTAACAGTGTGACTAGCAAATTTTTTCAAGTGGTACTTTGTTTAATGCAGTTCAGTTAAATTAAAGATGGAGGTACCAAACTAGCCAGTAGAGTTGTACAAACAATACTTAATCTGGAATTTTGTCTTTCAAGATAACAGATTTGATGTTTTTTTCTTTCCAGGCATTAAATGGCTTTGTACTGGTTGTTACAGCAGATGCTCTAGTCTTTTATGCCTCTTCAACCATCCAGGACTATTTGGGGTTCCAGCAAGTATGTAATTTTTTATTCTCTCTCTCACCCATCCCCACCCCAACAAATTTTATTGATTTCTAAAGGATTTTAATTAATTTTCTACAGCTTCAGAGCTCATATTTAGTATTTGATAATTTACATGGAAAATCTCATTTTTAGATATGTTGAGTTGGATTACTTTGGTACTGTACTTCTTCAGTATTAACTGACATAGTAGAAAAGAGGTCTTGTGCCAAGCAAAATAGGAATATAGTTTCTAGCATTGGATTAAGCAAGTCGGGGAACTTTCAAATTGTATGGGGATCTGTACTGGAACAAATCATGTGAAGTGCTGCACAATTCACTGTGTTGAGTGACACAATTTACTATTCAGTTTTCTATTAAAATTACCTTTCTTATCAAATGAACTACATATGTTTCAGGATTGTTTAATTATGTATTGGGTAGGACTGTACAGGCAGTCCCCGAGTTACGCGGATCCGACTTATGGCGGATCCGCAGTTACGAACGGGGCCCTTCCTCTCCCTGGTCTCCAGCAGACCAGGGAGAGGAAGCGAAGCGGCGGAACACGCGGGCAGCGGACAGGGCTGTCCGCTGCCCACGCTCTCCGCGGCTTGGCTCTGCTCTGCCCCCCCCGCCCCCCTGGTCTGCAGACCGGGGGGGGGGAGGGGCAAAGCAGAGCAAAGCAGAGCCAAGCCGCGGAGGGCCCCGTTCGTAACTGCGGATCCGACATAAGTCGGATCCACGTAACTCGGGGACTGCCTGTATAAGAACTAGTTAACTTCATTCTGTTTACAAAGTTTGTCTAAATACAGGTATATCGGATAAGTCATCAGTGCATAAATACTGTAAGATTTATGTCATTTACATGATAGGTGTGGACAAACTGCACATCAACCAGATCAATGGATCGATCATCTAAGTATTTCTGTTAACAAGTGTCAATGTGTTTATCCTTCCATGAATGGGGGTTGTAGTATTGCTGCTCTCAGTTCTGTGCAGCTGCTGGCAGCAGCATTGCCCTAAGAGGTGGGCAGCTGGAGAGTGGTGGCTGCTGATCAGGAGTCCCACTTTGAAGGCAGAGGCTACCTCCAGTAGTTAGTTGTGCAGAGTAAGGATGGCCTTGTATGGTATTGCCACCTTCACTTCTGTAATGCTGCCTGCAGAGCGGGGCCCATACTCAGCAGCCCCCCAGCTCTGAAAGCAACAGTAGAGAAGTTTAAGGGAGACAGTGTGGCAATAGCATACCCATTACATCTGCACTGCTTGCTAGTGGAGTGCTGCCTTCAGAGCTGGGCACATAGTGAACATTGCAACCATCGCTCTCCAGTGGCCCAGCTCTGAAGGCAGTTTAGAATTAAGGGTGGCAATACTGTGATCCTCCTAAAATACCCTTGTGACCCCCCTGCAACTCCCTTTGGATTGGGACCTCCCCTAAGCAGCTAACTGGTTAAACATTATGTTTAACTGGTCAGCCACTTGAACAGGGTTGCTTGGCCAGGCCCACCATCTAATCGTTTAACCAGTGACATCCCTAGTATTGGATTAGCTTATTAATTTTTTTAGTTCCTTTGTGTTTCTTTTTCTTTAAATATAGTAGCTTTTTTGTAATTAACTCACTGTTGTAGGTGACAGAATTTAGTTTTTGTTTAATGGATAATATTAGTTAATATATAAGCTAAACAAATTGTGTTGTGCTGCCCAATAAAAAATATTCTGCTTAGTATAAAACGATTATATTGATATACTGAAGGTGCAGCTGTACTTAACCTCTTCACCACCTGGGATTAATACATATCTAAATCTTGCTGGGTGCTGATATATTTGCTAAATGGTGGTGTATGTAGTTGCTCTTAAAAGTAGGAAGAGATTGTTTTATGTTTGTCCTTTTAGACAGCTGATAAGTGACCTTTGGAATTTTAGTTTGAAATGCTCCAAACAAAATATATTTTTTCAAGATACTCACCTTTGATTTAAAAAAAAAAAACTGAAAAAAAAGAGTAGGTATGAAATGCACATTGTAACTGCAACATGTAAAGTTAAAACTAGCATTTAGATTTTTAAAATAGTATTTCTGGCAGTCTTTCTAGTAAATGTTGATTTTTTTTTTAAATAAAACATGGATAAAGCAAAGTAATTAATTTGAGCTAAACTGTTGCTTCTGCCGAAATATCTAGCTGATATGTCCTTGTTATTTAGATACAGTGCGTTTATATAATAGTTGATACCACAGAAAGGAAACATTTTTCTAAGAGTTCCAATAGAACAGAAATGTATCTTAATTTACTGATCCTGCTTTTGAAATTCTTTGCCTAGCTTTAAAAAGTTTTCCTTCAATCCTTTCAACCCCGATGCAGGAAGTTCTTAATTTTTGGCTCACGTCCAGTTCTTAAACACTATTACTGAAGATAAGGCAGTTTAATAATTAAAGATGTAAATGGACCTTAGA